ATTATAACACCACAGGTAATCTCAGCGTTTAGAGCTGCTGCTGGAGACTTTGACGAAACCGTGAGTTAAATGGAACCATTGAATTCATACCCGGTAAGGACTTACACTTCACTGTATCATCCAGCTGCCGTATTGTCTTCTGCGCGCTCGTGCAGAATTTATGTGGGACGCTGACCATAATGCTGCCGATTATGATGAAAACTTTGGTCGAGGTAGGCTCTTTTATCCTTCCCTTGCTCACATAACATAACATTTCTACCTCCTTCCCAAGCAATCGCATGCGAGGTTCTTGCGCGTCGAATCGTTCATTTAACAGCCCCGGACCATTTGGCTGCGGTCATGGCCACGAGGTATACGCATTTACAGATTGACGGAGATGAGAGTGATCCTGCTAGTGCGCTGGAGATGGCTATTGATTCACATTGGTGCGTCTGAGTCTGTAATTCGCGTCGAGGAGGGTGTTCTGATGACGCGCCTTTTTTTCCTTTTGCTTCGTTAGCACAATTTTCTTGTCTTCAAGCGAATCTCAAGATGGTTGGACTTCATCCCCGCTTCTATGTGAAGGTAATTCTGATGCGGTTTTTCCAGTTGTGAATTCTCTATGGAAGGGCGACTTGATTCAAAAGATGAATGAGAAGTTTGATGTTGACTGTGAGCTATTTAACTCACTCACTACCTTGACTCAATATCCTTACCACGTCGTAGATGTTTCCTACTCTGAGTCTCAGACAGGAAGCTTCTGGAGCCACGTCAATCCATCGCGTCTTTGCGTTCCGCGGTACCAGAACTTTTTCAGGATCGTGGTCTGGTTGTTTTTTCTTTTCGTTTATTCTCAAGCCGGTTTGTCCTATTCTATGTATACTACTCACATTATGGCTTAGATTTTTTCCCTTCCTTGCGTAGTGCGACAACCCGTCGAACGTCTAGCTGACCCGTCATATATGAATACTATGGATGCTTGGGAAGTCATTCTATATGTCATTGCTTTGTCAACACTAGTTGAAGGTACACAGCTCTCACCAGTCTCTATTACTTACTTACTCTGTTCTAGACATGAACAGAGTATGCAAACACGTCTGCAAACAAACAGCCTATCACCCTAACTTTCACGCGTTTTTCCTTCTAGTTATACAAGCTCCTTCGATTCGTCACCTGGCGTGCTTTCTCATTTTGGAACATTGTTGCTTTCCTTACGAACTCACTGCTCCTGGCTGCTTTCATTCTTCGTATTATCGGCTTGCATGACAACACCGACTATTCCGCCAAATTGCGCTTGAATAGTTTCCAAGTGCTCAGTTTCGTTGCACCGTTTATTTGGTGGGTTCTTATTCAGTCTCTGTTGTGATTTGGAATGATGTTGATCATCCATGTTGGGGTATGGTGTAGGATGAGTGCGTGTCGTTTACTACGCTCCTCAATTTCTGGGTGACTGACCTGTCGTCGGCAGGGTTGATCACGGTATTCGACGGATACAAGTACGTCGGGATGATGCAGATTTGCGTCGCTCGTATGTTGCAAGAATCCGGTATTTTCTTCGCTGTGAGTAGTCTTTTTCTGTGTAATTTGATGACACTCAAGGAAAACATCTAGCTGCTTTCGATCTTGGCCCTTGGATTCGGACAAGCAATGTACGCCTTGGACGCTGCGGATGGAACTACTGAAGCTCCTTCAGGGGTAAATTCGTCCTGTCCATTCTCGTTTTCAGCTGAATATGACTTTCTGTATTCAGGTGGTCAATGCATTGGTACAGGCGTTGCTCCAGTAGGTCAATCACTTCCTTCGATTGAAAACCTGTATTTACCCTCCTGTCAAAGATCACCCGATTTTTCGCGATACTCATCGAGGTGAATACCTGCGTTGCAATTGACTTTCTTGTTGCTGCGACTGACTCTGGCTACTAGTCCTTCGGGTTTGATCATGTATTATCTGTACGTTTAATCTTGACTAGGTAGCTACCGGCAAATTCACCCAAATTCATAGCTGGAACGTCGTAACGGTCATTGTTCTACTCAATGTGCTCATTTCGTTGTTCGCTTCTGCATACCAAGATGTGAGTGTTACTTTTGTGGTGCTTGTCGTTGTATTCATAGCGTTAATTTTTGAAGGTCGTGGATGACGCAGAAGCACAGTATCTCGCTTTCTTTGCTGGAAAGACAGTAGGCATGATTCGAGCGCCGGATTCGTACGTGTATCCAGCACCATTCAATTTGATTGAAACCTTCCTGGTTTCACCGTTCGAGTTCGTAGCCTCCTTCACCCCTCTCGAGGGAAACACTGACGGTAATGCAACGTAGATATTGGTTCAGCGAAAAACAATATGCGAAGGTCAGTCTACTATTTTATATTTCAACTGCGAAGAATTCTAACCTCAACTTGCTCACACAGCTCAACCGTATAATCATGTCTGTCCTCTTTTTCGTCCCTCTCACCATCATAGCCTTCTTCGAAACCGTCTTTCAACGACACGAGAATGAGTGGATGACCAACTGGTTACACGGAGAGAATGAAGGGGACAATTCTTATCCCGCGGTCAGGGATCCTGAAGTTGACGGAGTTGATGCAGATGCTGGGTTGCGGATTAGCAAGGTGCCGTTCACGGAGTTGATCAAGGTCTTCCCAAATACAGCCCAATCGAGCGAAGCGTTGATGTTGGAGGAGATCAGAGGCTTGAGGAAGCAGTTGGATCTGGTTCTGAGGAAGGTTGAGATCAATGGGAAGAATAGTGGTGGGGAAAGGAAGGAAGATTGAGTGAAGGGGTTTGGATTTTTTGGTTTATGTCAAGAACATGCAAAACGATTGTATGTCAGAGATATGGAACTTTGTTTTATCCCGTGTCTTCGTACTTGAATGGAAGCCCAAGCTCAATCCTTCGTACCACCTACTCCTGCTGAAGGTGGGGTCTCTTGTCTTTGCGCGAAAATCGTAAGAGTCGGCCCTCATGTACACAAAGTAGCGCGGAGTTATCATTCAACATACAATAACCAACAGTTTACTTATTGCCTAAAATTAATCAGCTCCTTACGCTGTGCATTGCTCCAAGACGGCCATTGTATATTCACTGATCAATCGGTGCGAATTCTGGGATGGGTGGCCAGCTGTAAATCAAAATCATTTGTCAACCCCACATCCAAACGCAAACAGAAGAAAACTCACGAATCCAGAAAACACTATGATCAGGATCATCACATCCTCCTACGATCGTATTTGCGCTGATTAAACAGGTAGCGTTACCACGATACCCGAAAGCAGAGGGATCAGAGGCAATGGTATCAAACAGGCTGATGAATTTATAGAAATCAGGACTAACGAAGAGATCCCCTTACAGGAGGAAGTTACCGCTCAAGATTGACAAAGGCGACATTGGTTCCATTGACAGTGTTTGACTCGCGCAGGTAGGCAAAGATCTGATTCTGTAGGAGGTCGATTTCAGGGGTGTGTTTGTACATCTATCGGATGTGAGGATGCGAGGAATGAGCCAGGATCATCGGACCTGAGGAATGGAAGATCGTACTCCTTGTATCAAGATGTTCGTCGCGCCTTGGGCTTGGAGTTCTCCAAGTTTAGCGACCTATCGATAACAATGAATTATGCTCCAGGTTTGCAGTCGTAAACATATGCTTACATAGGTCTCATAAGCCAAGGTCATATTGCCACCAGCTGTTAGTAGAGGGATTTCAGATCGGAGGTGTACAGTACTAGATTTGCTCTGTTACCTATTTTGAATTGTCCGTCGTCACTGTCGGTGTTACAGTCAGTATCGGTTACTGCCTCGTGCGATCGTGCTCACTTGATTCCAAAAGAGACAGTGTAGAGTGTTTCATCAGGAATCAAGGCATCGAGAAACCTGCCTTGTTGAAGGAATAGACTGGGCGTAGGGATTAGCTTTCGTTGCTAGCAGGAAATGGGTGTTACAACTTACCTGGTTTCAGCGACAAAGTCAGTACGTGGTACACCCTTTCAAAGCCGTGTTAGTAAATCTACAAGGTCCAAACAAAAGGACACGACTGACAGTTGCGTTTAGGGGGGACGTCGTATTATACGCCAGATTGTCGATCACCGCACCACCCCAGGCGTACTTGATCATGAAACGCAAAATCGTCAACAATCAGATGGACAAGAATAATTGCATCAGCGAACTCACATTCAATAACTTCGCACTGAGTTCATTTGCCATATCCTCGACCCAGATAAATCCATTGCTGGCTCTTCTATTTTCGGTGAATTGAGAACCTGCAGATGGGGAAGGCGGCCACATAATTGGTGGTACTGGGACTGTCCCATTCGCTGTTGAACCAAAGTCATCAGAACGTGGTTACATCAAGTCTGAGCAGAAAGGGCACCTCCGTTAGACGTCCAAGAGTCCCCGAACGCGACGATAGTCCTGAAGCAAGAATCATTAGCTAAATCGTTTCTACAAGATTGATCATCTCACCTTGTCGGACTAAGGTTGATACCTGTATTGACCTCCGTGAAATTCTCAGATAGAAGTGTTCCACATAGCGGTTGAACAGCCAACGTGATTGGAGATGTGATATTCACCGTCACAGGAAAGTTCATTTGACTCTGCGCAATTACTTCGAAAGCATGTATTGCCACAGTGAGACCGAATCCAAACAGGAGTTTTGGACTTGATTGAACAAACAACATTTCAGTTAGAGGGAACAGATGGGTGGATTGGAACCATTGCGTGAATTTATTCAGATGGAGGCAAGTACATGAGGTCTGTTCTAAAAACAAAGGCAGAGTAAATAGAATGAGCAGGAGGACAACCAGGTGACACACCGATCGCGAGTTACACATGCACAGTGTAGTACAGCAGAGGACGCCCGGGACATGCGGACCGCAGAAACCCGGCACGGCACACCCTTCTCCACGATATACTTGAAATGATACCAGGCTGGGACAAGTTAAAGGATATTGCAGTTCAGCTGAAGTTGCGGAACGCAGTGAAAAATAAAATAGCATTGCACATATATCCATCTCGTCCACTAAAATCAAAACTCCCTGGCTGGGAGTCGAACCCAGCTTTCGCGCGAACGTTCTACCCGACGCACATGACAGGCGCGTGTACTAACCGATATACTACCAGGGATGTTTAAATTGTGTGATTAGCTGTTTATAGAATAGAGATCCACCGTCTACTTACACTGATGACCAGGTCCATTATAATCTGAAATCATATTTGTGCTCTGCTACCACCCACAATGTCGTTGCCGCAATCTCTGCGAACCTCCATCACACCTCCAGAGCTTGAATTCATTGCCTCCCAACAGCTGATAGAGATCATCCCTCTCATTGCTATGGAGAAGACTGCCTTCATATCTGTCCGTACTTCCCTCGCGTTTTGACTCGGAAATCCGCAACCTTACCTTGCATCCTACCTTGCGTTTGAATCATGCCTGGTGATCAGGGTGCCTTTGGTCCTCTCCAGCCCCCGCGGCGAGCTAAAACTCCTTTGTGGATGGCCATTAATCTGAAGCTCAAGAAGAAATGCCATATTGTTGCTCCTGAGTGGCTTAGTGTTGGTACGCGTGTAACTTGGTTTCTCAGGCAAACCATGGCTTTCTAACACCACTTTTCAATATAATCTTTCGTAGAATTCCTCCAATCACGTCTCGATGAAGAGCTGAGCGAGCCTGGGTACAGCCGGCTCCCATTCCGATACGCGGAAGTGTCGAAAGTTTTGCTGGATGTGTAAGCTTGCCCGTATCCATTAGTGTGCTCATTAACTCATAATGCTGCACCTCCAGCGCGTCGGACGATATTCAAAGTACAGATAAAATACGATCTCTGTTGAAGGACCTTAGGGAAGCACGTCAGGCGAAGAGTCGTGAGGGTTTAGAAGAATTAAATCGGAGTGAACTCAGTGTGCGTGCTCTGTTTCTAGGAGGCTGGAAGTACCTTGCTGACCTCTTAACAGTTATCAAACTTGTCCTCAATGGAAATCAACGAGATTCGCCCGTTCTTTGTACATGCTATGGGAATTCTCACACATTTGCATCGCGATGCCTCTACTGAAGACTAATTATGGTAGTCTTTCACCGCTACCACTTCTGCTTCTTTTTGCCGACGTGCACTATAACCACCTTTGATTCCAAAGACTAACTACCGACCATTGTATAATTTTTTCGGCGCAAAATCATTATGTAATCTTACTTTCAACGGTATCTTATTCCATAGCGACATGTCCTTCAAAACCAAACCGCAGGGTAGACTGCTTATTTTTCGTTAGCCGAGGTTCTCATCGGTTGGTAGGATCCATATCCCGACTTCATTGGCCCAGCGGACCCACTGCTACTCGTTTATGCCTAAAATGTGGCGACTCCATCCGTTTCACTCTTTTCTTGAATGATTTCCAGGAAATCGTTCAGCATGTGCGCTCAGGGCTTCATGTAACCTCCCTCCAGCGTTGTCGCTATGAAGATTCCTTGGACGATGCTCAGGGATACATTGATCAATATCAAAAGGAAATAACCCGATTACGCGACGCAATGCACTCGATTGAGGAGCAGCAGAAGTTTTTGACCGCTTATGCGGATGGCCTTGAGCATTTGTTAGCCCCAATCAATCGACTCTCAGAGGACATTCTCGTCGAAATCTTCAAATACGTCTGTTGCGAGGATATGAAGTTAGTTTTCATTCAATATTCTTGACCGTGTGAGATTTCCTTGGCCTTCAGCTTCAGTAAGCATCAAAACCTCTGCGTTATGCTTCTGCTCCATCAATTTCCTTCCGTCTCCGGCTTCGCATTGCAGGTATATGATGCCATCGTCGTGAATTGTTCGACTCTTGATATCACCCTCTGCAGGCTAAAGTCAGTCCTCTAATGATTTGGTCACAATTTATCAGTAATTAGGTGCTATTCTCAGTGCTATTTCTACACTCTAGCTGTAATGTACTCTGCCGGTTTAGTTTGCAGGCTGTTGTTTTAGAATTTGCGAAATGACTCATAAATTTGGAGCTGATTGCCGAGAAAGTTTACGGTGGTGCACAATATTTCTCGGAAGATCCCGATGCTCTTACCATGTATTGTAGCACCATTTTTGCAGTGGTGACTGTACATTTGTACCTATCTCACTCACTACTCTTTGAGTAGAACATGCTCAAGTAGATTAGTCGAAGAACTTGGGTGGAAACCGCAAATATGGAAGCCCTGTGAGCCGGCCGGCCAGCAGAAATTTGATTGTGAGACTGATCACCTTGCTTGCTAGGTCCTTCGCCACCCTGTCTTTACGAAGCGCTCGTGCATTTTTTTCTCACGTTAGGCGCTCTCTGATGTTTTTGTCGTCTGTGTCAAGCCCATGCCTCGGGCTTCCATTCCGCCGCTCGGTATTCCGAAGATCCACCTTTATTGTAATCTTTCCTTATTGTTCTTTCTCGCTACACATACCCTTTCATTCTAGTCTCTCCTTATTGTCTTTTACTTTACCCTGCAGGACTACACGTATAACTCCTAGTAGTTAGTCTGGCGCTCCGCACCGATGCGCCGCTCCGTAGATATAAATACTGCCTGTACGCTACTGTAGTTCCTCAGTTTAATTATCGACTTAGATTCCCTCCTTAACTCTGTGCTCTTCTAAGTCTTCAGGCTCAACGCCTTGAAGTACTCTCTATAGCCTTTGGACTTATAAGTTCTTTGGCTCGCTCCTTGTCACCGGCGTTACCGCCGCTCCGACTTGGCTGCTACTCAGCTCCTCCCTTCTATACTCCTGATCTCCGGGGACTAACGGCGTAACGGCGGTGTTGTTAATAACTTCACTACTGTCCCACTCGTCTTCCGCACTTAGACACTCTGTGACCTCTGGCACGGTTACACGGTGTATATGATCTTAACAGTCTGCAAGAGTTTTTCTTTCGAAGAGTTGACGTATCACGTACATGTCCACCACTTCTTGCAACGCCATCCTGATCTTCAATCCCTGCATCTGCGGTGTTCAGTGTTTGACTTGAATCTCATTCCTGACATTGCTATCAGAGGATCACTACATCTACTTACCCATTTCAAGGAGTTTCAAGGGTTCACTAGCAAATGTTAATGCTCTCATTTCTCGGTGGGAGCACAACCTCTCTTCCATTACTGTCATTGGTGGTCCAAGCAGCGGTGACTCCATGGCCTGTTTTCATAACAACATTGAGGGAGCAATGACTTTACGGAATTTGGAGCTACAAGAGGAAGGTGGGTACATAGGTGACATTCTCTTTTGAATCCTTGCAAGTTGCAATACCGTCGAAACATTATCTATTGACTTCAGATGCTCAATAACTCTTCAAGGAACTCTGGACCAAAAATGCTTTGTGTTGCATGCTTTTACCCAGACTTCGTGTGCTTGTAATACGAATACCAATTGCCATCTGCAAAACCTGGATGTTCGCGAGAGCAAGGGTACTAGCTGGAGAGCGCTGTCCAGCACTGAAAGCACTCCCAGCAGTTTTTCAGTACTGCTGGGAGCGTTTTCCCAGCTGGACAGTGCTGTCAGCTGCTTTCGAGCTCTTAGCCGAAAATACAGGTTTTACAGATGGCGCATAATCATTTTGAAAGACATATTTTTGAAGAAGCGATGTGCTCCTTAATCAATTCTGGTTTGGTACCAAACTGGGTTGCAAATTTTCCAACGGATTCATTTGAGGCAAGCAAGGTGTATTGAGCCCCGCAGGGGTTCGCTAGTATTTAAATCCTGTTAATACATTTTCTAAGCTTGATCAAGGATTGAGGGTAATGGCCAGTACTACTTATCTAGAGACCAACATACAACCTACTAGAGACCAACGCATAATTGCCGGAGACCAACCAATAAGTGCCAGAGAACTGACGTTTGATGCATCACGCGCATCAATTCAAGAGCATGGAATATTGAACGAAATCTGCCGTCATAAATCTGCCGTCATACGAGGACGCAGGTGCCAATTACATCGACTATACCGTCTGGCGAAAGCCTCTCCCCACTCTTACGCTGCGTGGTGTGTGTAGCAGATGTTTTCGCTTCATCGGGACTACACCCGTGCTATGGTCATGCTTCGGTATCAGATGCGTAGCCCGAAATCGAGACAACCTTGGTCCATCATTCTCGTCGTTTCTCACACGTTCTCAGTTCTCAGTCCCACCCCATTGACTTCAAAATCGAACTCCGCCTAGGGACCGCGAAGCAACTAGGTCTCATTTTGGACACGGAAACCACCAGACGTTGGCATGTAGCAGTCTTTACTGGTGTGGCTCACGGATTCAACGAGTTTGTTCTTCGAAAGCTAGTCAATTCAAAACTTGACCTCCCCGAACTGGTAAAACTTGATATTGACACAGGTTCCCAAACGGAGACCAGCCTACCAAAGTTCTTGATTAAGTGCCCTAAACTCCGTATTTTGCATTTACGTGGCTTCTTTCTGCGTCTCCTCTACGACCGACCTTCCATCACACATCTTGTCATGCATGAGCTCTCTTTTGTATCCGTGCTTAATATCCTCGGATATTGCCCAAACGTCCAAAATGTCACAGTGACCCACCTTCGCACGTTCGGCGCAACGAGTGCTCGTGTAAAACCCGAAATAACCAGAGTCTGTAATGCCCAAAGCTTGTCTATTGATTTTGGTATCCGTTCTTTCGACGGACTGAGAGGCAACCTTGGCGCCACTGACCTTGAGAACCTTCTCAAATCAATTACTATGCCCCGTCTAACTCACCTCGCCATTCTTGACACTTTCTCCAACAACGAGAACTTCGTCGAACCTCTTCGTGATATGCTTGAGCGAAGTATGTGCTCAGTCACTCACGTCCGTATTCGCGGGGCGCAGTTTAACAAGGATAGGATGCATCGTTTGTTCGACTCGTGTTTATCATTAGTGACGAATATGGAGTTTGAAGAAACTAGCGATGCAGCGTATGAATGTTTCTTCGATGGTATGACTGCCCATCACCAGGAAAAGGATACCGCCAAAAACGCCACTTCTAGTTGTAATGCAGAGGTAGGCGGAAGGATATCAACTGGGGTCACGCAAACCCAAGTAGAGGGGGATTCCGTCCCTAATACCAATAATGGTGCCGAGGTTGGTGTTAAAGCCGCAGTTGCTCCAACTCAGGAAGACCAGAGTTCACCATCC